CAGTAGAGATAACAATCGTGATGAGCCAGCAGAACTTGGTTTGCAGCAATATGAAAGACACTGAGTAGGAACATTTGTTAACTCTCAATAACAGGATGAGCCAACCTGCTAGGAACACTACACCTTTTTAGGGCTCTGAACTCAGCCATTCCATATTTTTGCTTTATAGAACAATGCTAAGAGCATGACCTCTTTCTTCTTGGCTTTTGTGTACCCAACTCATAGCCGGGGTCCTAACAACCATGGTTTCCCGAGAGTATGTTTTCCTGGCACCATGACAGGTTTTTTTTTTCCCTCTCTACAGCTTGGAGAGCCTAAAAATTCCTTCCCTGCCCCCTCCCCCCCCACTCGAAATGGCTCACTTGAGTGCAAACAAAATCCTCCAAAGATTGGGGACAAGTTTGACAAACAGCAGTAGGAGAGGTGATATTTTATAAAGAAAATGATAAATGATTCCAAGAAAGAAATTATGAAGCAGAAATCATCTCAGGCGTATATGGAACTACATCACGATGCAATTGAAAATGGGACTGCATTATGGCCAGTAGTTTGATAATGAAGGAAAGCTGTGAAGCTCATTTGTGACAATGTTAAAAAAAAAAAAAAAAAGGCATGTTGATAATGAGCCTTGAATATTCTTTCTTCTCTTTTCCCCCTTTGTATCACCTTTGGTCTACTTGGCATTCACCCAGATTAGAAGACTGACAGTCATTTCTCTTTAATAATCACTTTTGGAGACTCAAGAAGCAAACGCCTTTCAGCTCTGTCAACAGGGAATCATTAACACTGAAAAATAAATGTATATATGCTTAATTGTTTTTACTGAAATAAACACTCTGGGTACCCCCTGCCGTTTAATGAACACGCACTGGGTTAACTACAAGGGCTGCTGCCACTGCCATCTTTGATTGGCTTGCTAGTGGCAGATGAAAGATTAAAACACACGGGGTTTTTTTGCCAGTAAATATGATTTCACTTTTTTGGCTTCCACATGAACCCACCCTTTACAAAGTAATGCAGAAGAGCAACGGCTGTCAAAATAAGGCTAGCAAGTAAGTGGAGTAGCAGCTCTCTACAGAGTTTGATTATTCTTTTGTGAAAGAGTCTGTAAACAAAACCTTTAGGCTTTTGTCTACTAAACAGTGCTTAGAAATTCTTCCAGCCTAGCATTTTTAATATGTGGGAACATGACTGCATAGGATTCAAGAGCACTCAACATTTCTGAAAGGAAGACAATTTATTTCTGTAACTAAATGTGGCCTCAGAAGCCAAAATGCAGACAAAAGACCACTTTTTAAAAGGAATATAAATGCTCTGTATGCTCTGAGCTGTCTGTGAGACATCTTTCCTTTGTGTTGACTATAAATATCAAGATATTAACACAGCAAAAATTTTCAAGTATCAATTAATACAAATTTTGAGTTTGGAAAGGGAAATCTAATTGAAAACATTCAGGTCTTACTTTTCACTTCCAGCCTTTGGGCTGTGATAATAAGCCATCTAGTCTGAGGCTTGATATCCCTTCAACTAACAGTCAGTTCTTTGAGATGGCCAGAACCTTCAGAACATGCTACATGCATTACAGGGCATAAAGACTCAAATCTCTTCCCTTCCTAGAAAAATATTTGATCTAGGGCTGGGACATGCATTTCTTCACCAGATCAATTCACTAGTTTCTAAACATTGGGAGGAATTGGGTGGAAATTTACACATGCCTCAAAACAGAAATTGATGGGATACTTCCATCTAAATGTCCCGTCTCTATACCTGGGATGTGTCCTGAAAAGGAAGTTAAACATTCCCTGACCCCTCCTTTGACACTACAGCCATACCCAAATCCATATCATTTAGCTCTTATAGCCTTCAAGTAGGGCATCCACATCAATGCTGTCAAGTGGAGACAGTCTCTGGTTTGTGCGAAGTCCTGAATTAAGCTAGGGAAATGCTCAGGATGGTGATAGTGGATCCATACCTGGAAGGAGCTGAAGACTGTTGATTCTGTAAAGAATAAAAGATTTGAGTTCCAGTGCCTGGAATCTTTCCCTGGCACAGTTAAAGTTATTAGTATGGATGTGGTCATATGTGTCCAGGTGCTTTAGACAGCAGCTGAGCCTGGAGTTTGTTAGTGCTGGCTTTGCCTAAATACCAAACTTAGATATCTTAAGGGGAAACCAGTGCTTAACAGCACATCTTAAGTTGAACTCCAAAAGGTTGAGTAACAGATTTCCTACAAGTTCTTTGGATAGATTTGGTGTGAGGTTGTAAAACTTATTGCCAGCATGATTTTGGTTTGCCTCCTACTCTTTGAGATTTGCTGACCATTTCACCTCTACAGATTAATGACTAATTTTCAATCATTTTTTTCACATAGTTTTCCTGATCTATTATACAGGTAAGTGCTAGATATGCAATTACAGAACGCAAAGCATAGCAAAAACTTTTAAAAGTACTTACATTCAAATTCTTAAAAGGATCAAGATTTTATAATCTGGTTAGTGCTTCTTCACTTCAGGCTACTTGATGAAAATTAGGGATTACTGCATCCTCCTAGTTTAGTCATCAACCCTTATACACATCATTAGTGTTACACGCAACTAGTAAGGACAGTTTTGTCTTATAAAGTTTGTCTTATAAAAATGGTAAATACCAGCCAAACAATTTTTGCAGACTACAAATGCTGGTGGCAGTGAGCACCCTCCTTGCCTCAGCTGTTACTCCCAACCTCTTCAATGCTTCCAGAGTGCTTCTGGCTTCATGTAAAAGTGATTCTAGAGACAAAACATTGGTACAATCAAAGGAAATTACAACACAGGAAGGACTGGAGCAATATATGTGTGTTGCTTATGGCCATGGCAACACCTAAATTTTAGCTGTCTTGCCACCGCCTACAAATGACTTCAGCTAGTGTGACCAGACAACGATGACTACAATTCCCACTCACGTACAGATATGATGCTATCTATTCTCCATCACTGGAAAAGAGTGACTTTTGAGATTAAACACGACTAACCACAGATATCTACATTAAGAAAAACTCTTGGCAAGTAAGGACTATCTATTATCACAGATATCTTCTGGCATGAATAAGTAAAAGGTAAAGTATACAGTTTTTGAAATATTCTTTATTGAAACATTTTGAAAACTTCTACCTATTTACCTATAAAGTTGAAGGCATAAGATCTCTTGCATTTTACTGAAAGGACAAGGATTTTCCTTTAAGATTTTCTTCCATGTAAATAAATGTTGATGCAGCACAATTCACTGTGATCTAAAGAAGAACCTGCACTTTTGATTTCTAATATGTGTGTTAGAATCAGAGTTGATTTGAAATAGGTTTTTGATGGAAAGTGAAATTTTACACTTGGATTTTTAAAATTTGATTTTTTCATTGGAAAAATCAAATGGACCCAGATTTTCCACTTTCAGATCATTTTAAGAGCAATGTAAGAAAATGAAGACTGTACTTCATTATGGAGTTAAACACTGAAATAGGAATTAAATATATCATACTTTAAAACAATTGTTAGAAAGATTACGGTTAGATTTTTGTGAGGCTATTAGGAGCCCACATTTGGAATAATATCAAGCTGGAAGTTGAAGACAAAGCCCTCCCTTGGCAAAAGGGAACTAGACTTCAGTAGAGTCTACCAGAGCCAGAAGAGCAGGTCTGCAGTTTGCAGTGCTCTTCAAGGCAATGCAACATTCTGCAGTCTTCCTTCTGGATGGGAAGATCCCCAGGGTGAGAGACATTTTCAAGACTATCTTGTGGATGAGGCAATTATTTCACCATTAATAAAAATAAAGTTTTTACAGAAGCTGCATCATGTTATTTGAGTATTCTCTATGTTCCTGTTAAATTTTGGACAAAAAATTTTATTGGAACAAGCTGAGAAGAGTCACACGAACACCAAATGTGTTCCTTCCTTTCTGTTTCCTAGCACCATGTGCTTCCCAGTACATTTAATATACAGTAGTTCTCATGTGCATTTTGGTACAGAGTGCATTGATTTTGAAGATCCCTCTCTTAGGCATATTCCCAGAGACCTAAACTGTCATCTTAAATGTCCTCTGTCTTATTTTATTACAGCAGAACATGCCATGAACCAGAATCTTATTGCTAGTTGAACCTCCTTTGCATCATGCAGATGTTTAAACCAGATGTTTTGGAAAGGATTCCTTACCCTCCTATTCTCGATCTTTTTTGTGTTATTTAGACATGGCACAAATAAAAGTTACAAAGAGAGATGTTCTGCATTTCCATCTTCCAGCTGCAATTATATAGAGACACTTACTAAATGTAAGATCATGCAACCTTTGTCTTAATTGGGTAAACAGGGTGTTTGGAGTACCACGCAGCAGGACCTGGCTAATTAAATATTGTTCAGATTCCCCACTGGGGAGTTTATGTAACCATTGAACTATAAGCCATAGTGCTGCAGCTCAGAAACCACGTAATTAAGGTCGATGTTCTGTGGAACGACTGCCCTCCCTTTCCTAAAGAAATGTTGTAATTGACCTGTGGTGTTTTGTTGAGATGAAGTAAAGAAAATCGGACTGATCTGAGCTGTTTGCTGAAAAGCACTGCAAATACAGATCTTCAAAAAAAAAAAAAAATCAAGTGAGCTTTTAACTTACTAGGTCTTCAAGTGACAGTCTTTTCTATATCTGGAATTTTCATTTGGAGCTAAATTGCCATAGGTGAGTGAATTTCATCACTTAAGTTGTATTTCTCTATTGCACATGCCAATAAATCTTAATCCCACACCTGGGCTGGAGATCTCCAGGAAGATTCAGAACTATATTATCATGCAGGGGCAGACACATTTGTGCTAGATGCTCACACAGTAGGACAGTGACAATGGCAGAGGGCAACTCCCTCTTACAAGAATGGAAAGAGAAAACAAGAGGGCCACCAAAGGTAAGATGAGGCAATGAGTGTTTCTAGTGATGTGTGGTTCTTGTTTGCCTCATTTAAGTCTCTTTTCCTGGCCCTTGACAGGATACATTCATATACGGGAGAGGACTGGATATCAGACTTTAGACCTCAACAAGAAACCCTCCCATGTTGAGACACTCGGGCTACAACTGACCTATGGAACTCAAAAACAGCCTGACTGCTCAGGTATGTGAGCATCCTGCAGCTGCATTCCATGGGCACACTGAAAGGGACCAGCATTCTTACCACCCCATTCTGCTTCCTTGTTCTCTCCTTCTGCACATGCTCCAACAGCTGCTGCAGATGGCATGATACAGGACTGCAGGTACACAATAGAAAGTAACTGTGGTTCACTTTAGCTGTGTATTTGCAGGCTGACTTGGCTCTTTGGATCCCATGGGCCTAAACTGGGATGCAGACTCTTGAGTTGACAACTATCTTGACAGTAAATCTGAATCAAAAGCTATAATTTTGAAAAAGGACATAATCCCACCAATGTGAGGATGTCTATCCTGCTCCTGTGCTGAATGCTACACTTGGAAAGTATAAACAAATGTAACATATTAGCTAAAGTAATTCCCAAATAATTAGATAAAAGGTCTGAAAGAAAGAACTGGATTTATAGGTCTTTGCCTTTGCTTACAGGCAGGTGGAAGAAGGCCTTGAATTTCACATTTATGCTCTCAAAGTTTGATATGGCACTCAAGACTAAGTCACAGATGCCAACTTCACAGCATGTGAATTCTTTGCAGTATTCATTGGAATTATGCTAATGTAATAAAATACATTTATGTTTGAATGCGCTCAAATTGGTATTTTCTTCATTTCAGCCATAGAAGATAGAGATAGGATGTATAACTAAGAACCTAGAATAGTTTCTCAGTTCTCCATTCAGATGCTTCCCAAAACATATTGCTGTGAGACTTGAACACAGATTATTCTCCCTTTCCCCAACCAGAAAGAACTCTGAGTGCTTATCTGGGGAGATACTCATGGAGTACTCCAACAAATCCATGGGTCTGGAAGCTTTGCAAAGCATGACTTTGGGTCATATCATATGGCATAAATCTGCTCTAGAGTTTAGATGCAACCTAGAGATGCTTCAACTCAGTTCTCAAAAGGATTCAGTTATGATGATTTTTAGGTGACTCAGAATGCAAATACAAAGTGAGAATTTTACAGTCTTTCTGAATGGCTTTGGGCCTGGGAGCAAGAGTCACTCAGACAACATGGTAGGTGGTGCCCAATAGGACATACTGAAGTCCTCTCTGCCTCTCCCTAAATTTAAGCCTCTCTGTATAGGCCTGAGTTAGGTGCCAGGGTAGCATTAGCATTCACAGCCTGTGCTTTGGTGTCTAAATGTCCCTTTGAAAAGGAATTTCTATTCTGTACTTCTGTTTTAATACATGCCCTGAAAGAAATTAAATGTAGATACCTAACAAGGTCTGGAAGCTGAGGTTAAATCCTTTACAGGTCTCACAGGCAATGAGTGGCAGAGGAAGTTCTTGAATCTGTATTCTGTGAATGCAGGGAAGCATCTTAACTAACCTGTAGACACTTTACCTTTGCTTATTGAGGATGATGACTCAGTGGGATGGCTATGGGAATAGAGAACATCTATTCAGTAGAGCAGGACTGGCTACCATGAATCTGTTGCTGCAGGCTTCTAAACAGAACGGGGGGGAAAGGCAGTTAGAATCATTTTCCTGTAGCAACTTCAAAACTGTCAATATTCAATATTACGGCCCCAAGAGAAAATCTGAAAAAGAGAAGAAAGCTTTTGCAGTGCTTGCTGACCAGAACAAACACCATTATACTACCAAATTCATGTAACAAAAATTGAGGGATTTTAACAAAATTGGATCTTCATCTGCACTTAAAGCAATCAAAAAATTTCAAGTAAACATTTACCTGTAAATGAAAAAAAATATAACTTTTATTTTATGAATTCTTAATAACCACTAATATTTCAAATCTTTGGAGACCTGCCCAGCTGAGGTATGGCTTTTTCCTCAAATACAAAGCTGTTTAAGAAATGGTATCAGGTACAGACAATAGATGGCTGATATATAGCCCAGATGACTGATAGTGTAGATTAGATACTGGTTTTTCTTGTAAAATCTTATTCACATGCAGATATACAACTTCATTAATTAAACTCCAGGGCTGTGAATGCTTTTCTGTTGCCTGAAAATATAGAAATATATAGAAATTTTTATTATGGTTATTGATGATCATGTTTTTGTTCTAATAATTACTCACTTCTTATTTAAAGCAAACCTCAGACTAGTCTAAATAGGAGACTACAAGACAAGTTATGATCTCAGTCCAATGTAAGTCTGCTTTGTTTGCCTCTGGTAGACAGACTTCACATTAATTTTGAGATAACTGTATGAGGAAATCTGAGCCAAAGCCAGAAACTAAACTCTTTTCTGTGAGATCTACAGTGCCCTGCAACTCTGGAGCACAGATACATCTGGAAAAGCTGCTTTTCCTGGTGATCTCTTGTGCATTTAAATCCTCATAAAAAATGCTCTTTGCAAACTCAGGTCCAGCTAAAGCATAGTCTGGCAGTCAAGGGAAGATGTTCCTCTGTATATTTTACTTTTAGAACACATCTGTCTGCCCTTGAGTTAGTTTCTTCTCTGCCCTCTCTTTAATCTGGAGAACACCTGAAATGTCCTTCAGTTTTAGTAGTCTCCTGACTCCAGTAGAGATTTCCTAATACACAGAACAGATGACAATATGTTTCTACCCATTTATTATACCTGGATCATACCTCAGCAATCCCTTGACATTTCCTGTTATGCTGACTCAAAGTACTAACAGTGAGTGGAAAAAGAAATATAAGTAATTTGAGCTATTCTGGAGCTCCAGAGCCTCAAAGCAAGGAGTTTCTTCACCTTGGAAAAAATGAGGATTTTGAAATTGTTGTCCACTACTTCTGGAAACAGAGTTACATTATTAAAAATAATGCCCTGCAGGGATGTAACATGCTCAAGAACTGGATACCACAATGTGGTTAGTGAAAAATTAATGGGAAAAATTGTGCTTTTTCATTTTCATGGAATTTGCAGGAATATTTTTATAAGTTTCTGCATTTTTAAATGTCATTCTGAGAGTGTGCCTACACTTCCCAAGATGTTTTCCAATTGAATTTTGAATACATTTCAAAACATTTTTTTAAACAGAGATGAAGAAATATAGTGACAATAAATATAGATGAACTGTGAAAAATACACTGAGCTTGTATAAGTTCAATTCATTGCTATGAAAATTAGAAAGGTGAAGAACAGGATTAGTTGAGGTGGGGACTGCTGGTAAAAAAAACAGTAGGCAGAGACCCAAGGATGATTTTGCAATTAAAAAAAAAAAATCAATATACAGGCAGCTATTATCAGCACTGATAGAAATTAATGCCTTCCTAAGTGGGATTTACAAAGGCACTTGTCACTGGTTGAATTTGTTTCTGCTGCAGTGAATGGGACTTTTGCTGGTAGGATTAGCTAAAGCCAAGCTTCTGAAAACAGCGCCCTGAAATCACCCTTACCTTTCCTGCTCCTTGATCCTGGAAAATATCCACATCATCTCTACAATAAAAACTACAGGATGGAAAGTGTTCCTTTGCTGTGTGACCTTGCAGCAGCAATTGCTCTGGTACAAGAGTGGGGTTTTTTCAGAACTTGGTTTCACAGGTCATTCCCTCCCTGCCCCTCAGCAGATGCATTTAACTTGGTTTCAGCCAAACCCTGTGAGCACAGCCCATCAGGCTTGGATTCTGGATTGAACAGTTGGTCACCTCTGACAACACAAAATGCATGCAGCTGAGCCGAAACTGTGAATCAAGTCTCATTTTCTCTTTGCTTGGCACCCCTAAGCTAGTTCTGACCTGACCCCATCCCCTCAGGGTGCCAGTCAGTCCCTGCTTCCTCTCCTCAGCCATTAAATGATTCCTTAGGCAAAGCCAGCTGCTGCCCAGTTACTTGAGACATCTGGTGTCCCAGCAGAAGGGAGGAGAGGTGGGCTGTTGAGGGAGCCATGCTTGTAGAGCTGGGGCCATGGTTACAACCATATAACGTTTTATTTTTGATGGGAATGGGAACTTCCCATCCCAAACCAAAAGCAACCAGGCTGTTTGCCTCACTCCATCACAAGTGTAAGTACAAGCGTGTGTAGTTACCTAGCACACCTCTCAGTGTGGGGAAAGAACTGGGGTGCCAGAGATGAGGACTCATGAGAAGCAGAAGCAGTGAGTGAAATCCTTGTTTATGTCACTGTACACTAGAAAGATTTGATTGAAACATGCATCAGCTGCATGGGGTGGCAGGAGAGCGACCTGAACACCTCAAATCGTTGTGGCCATAGACAGACTATTTCCTACACTGTGGGAGCTCTCTGAAGCCAAACACCATCCAGCCTTACTACACATCTCCATATGGCAACAGCTCTTGGTTCATTCAGCTGTAAAAGATCTCCTCATGAACTTCAGCTTTATTTTTCCCTCCAAGCAGGATTATGTCACCATGCTGCAGGCAGGCATTCAGCTCCCAGCTCCAGAGCAGACAGATGTGGTGAGGGTTAAGGGCTTTATTCCTCTTAACAAACGGGAGGGAATAGTCTCATGTTGTTGAGACTCTTGAATTTAAGAATTGCAGAAAGCCAAGCAATAGTGCATAGTGTGTGCACCCATACAAACTAAAGCCAATTCTAATCTTCACAGCAGCCCTTCACATGAGCCTAGAGAGTGTAGCCCAGCAGCTCCACTTCCAGTTTTGTAAGGTACTCATCAACATAAAGCCACACATATAATATTTAAGCTCAAATGCACAGAAATGGCTCCTGTTGGGGAAGATGAAACAAGAAAGCTTTATAAATATGATTGCCTGGCAAAAGATTTAGGAAATACCGAGGTTGAAATAGTAACAAGTTTTGAGATACCAAACCTTAGTTACTGCACAAGTAGAAAACAATAGTACAGCCAGGATGAAGACAATCCCCCCTTCTGTTGAACAATGCCCTTACCTACAGATAGGTCCAAAGGTCAAATGGACTGTTCCATCTCAACCCCCAAAATGTATGGTTCATCCCACACCTGTAACCCTCCCCTGAAGCATCAGGTGTCTGTGACCCCATTGGCCTAAGTCTTGCTCCAGCCCACCTTGAAGCCCCCTGATAAGGGGTCCCTGAGGAGCCAGACACTTTCTTGGAACTTCCACCCTCTCCTGGAGCATCCTCTTATCTCCCTCTACCTCTTGCCTCTCCCTTCCCCTACTCCCTAAGGCATCTGGCAGCTCCATTCAGGGCCTTTCACCCTCTATAACAAACATTGTATTCTAAGAGCAGCCTTGAGAGATCTCTCATCTCCATCCATCCAAACCATCCTGGAGTCCAGCGTCTCTGCATTTCCAGCATAGAGTTTTACATTTTTACTAATTTTTTTAAGAAGAATCACACGTATGTTGATTCTGATAACATTTTCTCACCTGCACATGTGAAACTGGTTAGCAGCACTGTGATTTCAATACTTCACTCTTATTGTTTCCTTTCACAATGTGTACCATAAATTAGTTTTTTCTCCCACCATTTTCTAAGAAAATAAAGCATCCTTAAGGAGAGGTTAAAATTAAATAAACACCCTTCCTTTTTCCTACTCCCAAATTCTAATATAGAAAATTTATTTCAGTGCAGCACGTCACTACCGTGCTGATGGCATTAGACATGTTCATGATGTTACATAAAATAAGAGGCAATTACTAATTCTGACCTTAAGAAGAAACAGTTATATATAAAAAACTTCACAGACTTATCA